ATGCGGTTCAGACGCAATCTGGGCGTATCGGTTTTTGGGTTTTATCAATTTTCCACGCTGTTTAGGGGTCCGTGGTCATGAAACTTCTGGACAACACTTCTCATGGTAGACTCTAAGAGGGTGTCAAATTTGATTGAAATGCGATCATTCCTTCTGTAAGCAGAATTTTTTCGATTATCGATTTTTTCGGAACCTGATTCCGAACTCAAAAATCAGGCTCCGTCATGTCCTTACAGCAGCCATTTGCAAACTTGTGTTGAAAACCACATTGAAATCGGTTGAGAAATGTGGCCTGGGTGAGGTAACAACGCCCACGACAGACACACAGACAGACAACATGAGAAATATAGATAGTAGATTCTGGGCTAGTGCCACTATTAGTTTTTTTTAATTATTATTACTATGACTACTACTAATAATAATAATTATTATTTTGCTTCATCTTATTACTGTTGCTTTTCGTCCAATTCATCTGTGTCAATGCGTACTTTATTCTTGTTATCACAAACTTTATTCTATCTTCTTACTATTGCTTTTTATATCAACCCTCTCGGTCAATACACTCTTCATTATACCTATTATTATTATTAGTTTTATTCCATATTAATATGGAATAAAACTGATTTCACTCATTTTAAAATTTCAGCTGCCCCTGATTCTAAGTACATGTCCTTTTTGATTAAATCACTGGATAAAAATTATGTTCTTCAGCATGTTTCATCATAGACAAAGCAAGAAATTTGAGAAAAAAAAATAATTTTGGTTGTTTACAGATTTAAAAGTAGTTGTTACTGAAGAAATATTTCAAAGCAGCCTGTCTGCAACCTCTGCCCCACCACCACCACCAAACACACACACACACACACACACACACACACACAAAAATAAAAAAATAACCATGAGAAAAACATAGAAAAGTTTGGTTGAAGCCAGCAAACTTGAAAGTTTGTCACTGTGCCTTGTAAATGAAGCTGAGTCTTGCTGGGAATTGAATTCCCTTGAATTCAAAAGAATTATTAGGATCATCTGAATGAATATGTGCTCCTTTTTCCCTGACCCAGTAAAGATAGTTGCTTCAGTGATATGTGGGAGAAGCTACTTGATGGTTTGATAAGCTCCATTGTGTAACTTGGTTGGGTCAGCATGCATGTCTGGGAATCAGGATGGGTGTTCTAATCTTTAATTTAAACTTGTATGGACAAATACCATACAACCCAGGAGAGTTGAGAAACTCAGGTTGGTTCTGAATAGATTTCAAAGTGCTCCAGAACTGTGGCAATTCACTTAAAATCTGAACCTCTTCAGAAATCTGTTGTAAGGTTATTTCATTAATTGTATCATTCTTTGAAGCAAGAAAGCCTCCCTCAAAGACTTACTTACCATTTCTGAGGTTTCAGATCATGTTGTGGATATCAAAGAGTTGAAATAAATCAAATTTATTCTAGAATATTTCAGAATTGTTGTTTGAAAATGTTTGTTTTAAGCAACTTGTTTAGAAGCAATTACACACAGATTTAACTAACTTTAAATCAACTCCACTATTGATGTCAGTATGGCTTAAGCAACTAAAAAAGAAAAAAGGCAAAATTAACCAAAATGAAATATATTATTTTATCTGTACTCAAGAATTCTACTAATTCAGTTCCACTAAAATGTTTCCTGTAATGAGAGAGATATAACAAATATAAAAGTAATTTTAGAATTTAAACATTTTCTCAAAAAACAAACTTACTGAACCATTTTAAGAGAGGACTGAAAATATATATAAATATATAAAATATATTTTTTTAAATATTTTAAAAATACAATTAGTATACAAGGAATTTTAATAATTTGTACTTTTTCAAAAATAAGTACATTTTTATAAACTTTTAGTCTTTACTGTTAAAACAGTACCTTGATCAATAAACTTAGTGACAATATTTCACCAAACAGCAGAAAATTTCACCCTGAGGAGAAACTTCAATAAACTTAAATAATGCCTAAAGGTTAAAGGGAGACAAGCTACTGCTTAGAAAACATCCATTAATCTGAGGAGTGGGTGTCTAATATCTTCAGAAATTTGTTAGCCAAGGATGGTGAGTTCAATTCTAGGTAGGACCACAAGAGTCACCATAGTCACCATAGTTACTATTGTTGCTTTTTAGATTAAGTCTTTTCACTATTATTATTTTATTACGAATTTCACTCCATTTTATTGTTGCTTTTTAGATAAATACTAAGATCACTGGTTAAAAAATACTTGTGTTAGTGACTAATCAGTTGAGTCTTGAAGATGGATGAGATAACTCACTTTGCATGTCATCAGTTTACTACTACAGATAGATGAGATCTCACCTTATTAAATCATCTCTTTAGTGCTGCAAGGGGATGAGATAATTTGCCTTAGCAAGTCATCAGATCTCAATTGATTTAATAAGGTGAGATCTTTTTAATGCTAAAAGGAGATAACTGTTAGCACAGATACCTTATTAAATCATCTCTTTAGACGAGATAATTTGCCTTAGCAAGTTGATTTAATAGACGAGATCTTTTTGATTTAATAAGGTGAGATCTTTTTAATGCTACAAGGAGATAACTCGCCTTAGCAAGTCATCAGTTTACTGCTACAGTTAGATGAGATCTCACCTTATTAAATCATCTCTTTAGTGCTGCAAGGAGATAACTCGCCTTAGCAAGTCATCAGTTCACTACTGCAGATGAGATCTTACCTTATTAAATCATTTTTTTAGTGCTGCAAGGGGATGAGATAACTCACCTTAGCAAGTCATTGGTTTTGTCATAAAGATGACATAAATTGTGGGACAATAGTGTATGCTTCTATTTTCTGATGACAACGTCTCTTTTTGAAAAGAAAGGAAATTTTTACATTTACTTTGACAGATCATGATTACTTGTACAACTTAGTGCCTTGTATGTAAATTCATGTTTTAAGATATTTAATCTTGGTACATTGATATCTATATTATATACACAAGATGTTCTGCCATACATATATGCCGAGATTAGTATGAAAGCAAAACAGTTCTAAACATGTAATGTAGACTACATTGACAGAAAATTGGGTAAATGTTTTCATAGAAGGAAATATTGTACAAAGAGAAAGTGAAGCCTGAGGGTCTTGGCAAAGATTATCTTTCTTTAAACATTGTGGACTGGCGCTATACATTTAAAAAGAACTGTACAAAATAACAGAAACCACATCAGTTGAGGACTACCAAGAGCAGCAACAACTAAAATGAACAGCACATGTAACTTGAACAGAAAATAATGATAAAATCAAGATGTTGACATTACACACCTACTTCAAACGAAATGTTAGGAAGGAAATCTCCGCCCGAATCAATACTGGAAAGGGTGATAACAGCTACTAGATTTGAAAACCCTATTTTTCAGAAAAATTGTTCTAAAAGAAAGATTTTATAAATTTCAACTGAAAGCAATAACGGTTGCTTGGTCAATGTATACCAAATGTTTCCTTATAGGGAAATGGCTAATATTACCATTAGCCTATTCACTGTTATTATTTTATTACTAGTTTTACTCCATTTTATTATTGTTGTATTTTAGATAAAATATTTTCACTATTGCCAACAAAATAGGAGGAAAATAACCTTTTTTGTTTTTTAAATTCTTTTATTGCTCTGAAAAAAAAATTATTTTTAATCCAAAATTGACCTTTGGTGAACTTGGAAGAATAACATCATTTGTTTCTGTCTAAGTTACCTCCACTTATCAATTCATCTCCATGAATGTAAATATTTTTCTGCAAACAAATCATAAAGGTCACATAGTGATTTTGCCTCCAGTGAACTCAATTTGAACATTATTCACTATACAGTTTGTGAGATCAAAAACATTTTTTATTTCATCACAAACACTGGGTCCCACTCGATTTTGCTAGAAACTGCATGTAATGATTTTTTTTTTTTTTTACTGAAGACAAGACTCAAGAGCCACTCAAAGTAGAGATTTAGATGTGCAATAAGAATTTAAGAGGGCTTAAAAAGTTCAGGAAAAGGATGGACAACCAATGACCCATCTTCAATTTCTAGTTCATATTTTGGGCATTTTCTCTTACTGAAAACTGTAATTTCTATCTTCTTTACAATCAAGAGTTAGTCCTTTCTTCTTGCTTTCTTTTACTATCTAGCAGGTCCTGTAGTTTCCTTTCTCTGTCTGCCATCAACTCAGTGTCCTCTGCATATCTTATGTTAAGATTGCACCTCCCTGATAGTAGGGTTTCCAGCTCTCTTAGGATAACATTGATGGAGAATTTGAACAGATTTAGACACATACTTGTCTTATTCTCCTTTCTGTTTTTTTGTGTACCCACTCATTCCATTTTTAGAGATTTCCTTCCTAACTTTTATTTTTGGTTGTGAGGAAAGATAACATGATTATTTTCTCTGTGCTACTCATTTTTATTGCTGTTGTTGGAAGTATGATGTGTTCTTTTTTTTTATTATTTGGAAAAGCTCTTTCTTCATGATTGTGTAGCACCAGCATATAAGAACCAATGAAAGATTGTTTTATTTAAGACCTTGAAATAATTATAGTAAAATACATCCTCAAAAGATAATTTTTATTGTCATCCAATCCAACTGACTGCTGATTTTACTTCTTACCTTCCAATATGAGGCCAGTTGATTCAGAATAATTTAAATCTAGAGACAGATATGCAATGTGGTTGTCGCTGATCTGTCATCTCGTTTGCAGCCACTCATAACATCCAACTATTCAAATGTAATGTCAATCGACAACCTCTGACGAGCTATTTTTGCTAATACCCAAACTGCATGAATTTAAACTACCACTAGGTCCAGCATCCTTTCTTCACTGTCAAAATGGTTATCTGCTCTTTCTCCTTCAATAGTTCCATGTCCCCACTGCATCCTAGTGAACTCCCTTTCCTTTACTTGGGGCCCTGATAGCTAAAAAAAAAAAATATCTAACTCACTTATCCAGATGAAAATGCTAATTTTATTAAATCCTTTTCGATGCTATCCCTCTTTATTTTGGGCCCACTCACTATGTCCCCTTGTGACTCAGAACAATCATTTGGCCTGAAGGTGAAAATTTTTTAAAAAAAAATTAATAACATAAAGAAATTAAGTGTTCACCAAAATTTTCAAAAAGACAAATTCATTCAGTAATTTTTTGGCCTGAATCGATACTTCAAATATACAAAAACAAAGTTGCAGGGATTATTGCTTGGTATATAGGATGGAGAATTTTTCTGACAATCCATGCAGATAAAAAAATTGAGGATCTGGCGTCTCATCTGCAGTCATAAATGGGGATCTCAGTCTTTTCATTTAATGGGTCAAAAGTCCGATGAATAAACCAGGTTTTCTTAACTCCAAGATCAAGGTGGAGGTGGCAAATTTCCCCTCAAAAACAAGAACAAACATTCCTTCTCTCTTCTGTCAGGCACCAATGAGGTTCATACCTTCCACCTTTACAATGCTGGGAAACCCTTCCCAATCACTGTTTTTTATCTATCACAGTCTATTCAAATGTAATGTCAATCCATCGCAGTCCTGTTCTACCCATCTATCCTTCTCCTCATCCTTTCTTCTCATATTCCCATCTGCTCTTGCAGTCTGTTCCCCTATCCTGTGGCTTCCTCCTTGCCTGTTCAAAAAAAAAAAAATATCTAACTCACTTACCAAGATGAAAATGCTAATTTTTTATTAAATGTTTCGATGCTATCCCAAGAATTTAGGGCTGTCACTATGTCTAGTGACTCAGAACAATCATTTGGCCTGAAGGTGACCCATTTTTCAAAGTTTATCTCTATTTATCTTTATCAAAATTTAAAAAGACAAATATCATTTATCTCTATCTCTTTCTCTCTGGCATTTAATAATTGGTGGATCAGAATTTTTTCTCTCCAATAAAAAAGAGGATCTCTTAATAAATGTTTATCTCAGAAAATCATTTAATGGGTCAAAAAGTGCAAAATTAATAAACCAGGTTTTCTTAACAAGATCAAGGTGGGAGGTGAAAAAATTTACTCAAAAACAAGAACAAACATTCCTTCTCTCTTCTGTCAGGCACCTGAGGTTACAGTTTCCTTTTTTTACAATGCTGGGAAACTATTGTCTTTGCTTTTTATCTATCACAGTCTGTTCATATCTATCGATCCATCGCAGTCTGTTCATATCTATCTATCTATCGCAGTCTGTTCATATCTGTCTTCCTCGGCCTGTTCATATCTATCTGTCTTCCTCGGCCTGTTCATATCTATCTCTCTTTCTATCTCTATCTCTCTCTATTGATCTCTATCTCTATCTCTCTCTATTTATCTCTATCTCTTTCTCTCTCTATTTATCTCTATCTCTATCTCTCTCTATTTATCTCTATCTCTTTCTCTCTCTCTTTTATCTCTTTCTCTATCTCTCTCTCTATTTATCTCTTTCTCTCTCTCTCTCTCTCATTCTTTCTTTCTCTATCTCTCTCTCTATTTATCTCTTTTCTCTATCTCTCTCTCTCTATCTCTTTCTCTATCTCTCTCTCTATCTCTTTCTCTTCCTCTCTCTATCTCTTTCTCTATCTCTCTCTCTCTTCCTCCCACTCTTTCTCTCTATCTCTTTCTCTTCCTCTCTCTATCTCTTTCTCTATTTCTCTCTCTTCTTTTTCTCTTTCTCTATCTCTCTCTCTCTCTTTATCTCTTTCTCTATCTCTCTCTCTCTATTTATCTCTTTCTCTATCTCTCTCTCTATTTATCTCTTTCTCTATCTCTCTCTCTATTTATCTCTTTCTCTATCTCTCTCTCTCTATTTATCTCTTTCTCTATCTCTCTCTCTATTTATCTCTTTCTCTATCTCTCTCTCTCTCTCTCTCTATCTCTCAGTCTGTTCATACCTACCTATTTATCCACAATCACACATATCACTCAAACAATATTTTTAGGGGATATACTTGATAAAAACTCATTTATAAACAACCATTCTCAAATTTGACTGCACTTTTGATCTTTGTGTCTTTTATTTTTTTCAAATTTTATATCCTTTCAGGATGTACATGATCATGGCTCTCCACAGATTCCTTTTTATTTGAAATGCTATCTCATCTTTGGAAAGATAACAAGGTAGTTTCCCACTTGCTTCTCCATGATTTTTAATTCAATATTTTCCTTCTTTTAGACTGATTACTAACCAAGGCTAGAGGGTCCAGTCTCATCTGTTATTTAACCCATAGCTGGTAGGAGAAGAAATAGATTCACACCTTTCCCAAGGGCCTTTTTGTGAAAGTGAATGCAACAGACTAGGTTAAAATTTGAACTCACTGTTTCCACTTCCCATGCAGATAATTGTTACTTGCACATTCCAGTGTGTCTTAACTTAATGAAGAAAAAAAATAACATAAAATTAAACAAAAAGTTAGTAAGTTATTTTATACAGTATTCAAGAATTCTAGCAACTATTTCCTGTACAATTAATGAAGGTAAACATTATTGAGCCTGGTTAGTACCTGGATGAGTGACTACTTCAGGATACCAGGTATTGTAAGCTTGAATGTGTGTGTTGTGTAATGGATAATGGATAGGAATTGTTAATTGGAGACCAGAGTTTTAATTCTTGCTGGGTTCGGTATATTAATTTACATAGAAATACCCTTGAGAAGATATGATTCTATCACTTCTCCTCCCTCCAACCTATGAGTTAATTAGTAGGATTTGTATCACTAAAACCATTATTATCTCAAAAAAAATAAAATTGTGTACAAAATATTTAGATATTAGCATTCAATAACCCATAGAAGTGTTGATATGCCTACAAAGAAAAAACAACAAACCAATCTACTAGTTTAATTATATATATATATATATATATATATATATTTTTTATTAGACACAAATATAAAAAATTTGCACAACTTGAATACTAGTCCTTGTTCAAAAATTAAACAAAGTACTGGTTTTTAAGAAAAAAAAAGGAAAAATATATGTTCATTTAAGCAATACATCATGTGAAGTATGAGTTTCAACTTAGATATACATGAAGGGATACAAAAGGTGATTATTGTGTTTTTAGTTAGCACTCCTAGAGTCAAGACGTGCCTGCCCACACCAGTTGATTTTTATCTTGCCTAGAGACAAGATGTGTCGGACCAGCCCAGTTGCTATATAGTCCACAAAGGAAGACATCACAAGCCCACAGTAGTAGCTTGAACGGAGACCCCCACATGGTCTCACCAGAAATATAAAACCTGCTATTTTTCCCCAATGAGAAATATTACAAGTAAGACCCTCTCTTTTTTTATTTTTTTTACACTGTATATGTTATAATTTCTCTGTGAGGTACAAATTTGTGATAAGTATGTACAGGGTACGATGGGTAAATCATCGCTATTTTATATTTCATACACATTGTTTTTTATTTTGTCAACTGCACAGTATAGTAGGGTCAGTTGGGTACTGTCTGTGAGAAAAAGAGCACCATGATGCAATTCACTCTGCCAGAAATTTGGAAACAGTATGCTGTAATGTTTGGCATTCACACAGGAAGTTCCAATACAAACATTTCAGAGAGTTTGGGTGTCAGTCTGAGAACAGTGCAGTTGATGCTGCATCCCCAAAATGCCACCATTGATCTTCCCACAAGCCTCTGACTCAACATAGAAACATACATCAAGTGTCTTGAGGCAGTAGTGCTGCCCTGGATCAAGAGGGCTCTGCACCATGTCACACAAGCAGCAGAACCTAGACATGGCTGTCAGACAATTTCTGCAACCACATTACCCCTTACATCTGGCCACCTGACTCCCCAGACTGAGACCCACTTGATTATTATGTGTAGGGCACAGTTGAGCAAGAGACTAACAAAACTCCTTGTAACACCAAGGATAAACTGAAGGCAAAGATTATGGCAGCATTCACCAACTTAAATGAGCAGACTGTCCAGAAGAGTTGCAAGAGATTCTGAAGTTGAAGCCAATGGTGATTTTATTGAATAAATTTACTCTTTAGTATTTCAAGATATTTTTATGTAATTTTGGTAAATATATCTGTTAAAATGTGATGTCAGATTTTTGCATAGTTTAAATGACAATTTATCTATCGCATCTTGTATATATCTGTATAAAAATCTCTTTGAGAAAGATGCATGTTTGTCATTCCTTTCTTTCAGCTGTTCTGTACAATCCGTGTATTAAGATGTTAGTATACCATGGATATAATAATGCCTATAATGGGGAAATGTAACTGGGAATATTCCTTTCTTGTATAGCACCCTTATTATCCTTATTAAAAAAAAATTGATAGCTTCTTTCGGTGGTATTTAGTTTTCTGTTGAAAAAATAAATTGAAAAGATAAAGACCAAAGAAAAATAAGAAGACAG